TGAGTTATTTATTTTATAAAGTAAAATACAAGAGTATAGTGGAACTTTGTCAACTTTTTTGGTTGCCCAGAATCACTGATGATCTTACTGTGTTTGGAATATTCCCATATGATTAATCCATTGTTCAACAAGGTAGAAATTCACCTTCCCAGACTCCCTTGCAGCTATGGTGCAGGCATGTGGCCTGGGCTCCACTGATTGGGAAGCAAGTGGTGTGACATGGGTGGAACATAGAGCTGACAGGGTGTTAGCAGAGACACTGAGCTCTCAGGGGTAATGGTGACAGAGGTCCTGTTGGGAGTGTACAATGCCCAGCCTCAGTGGTGTGAGGTCAAGTGTCTGTGCCAAGCCCTGGAGAATGGGAGGTCTCTGCTGGATGGGGTGCAACTTGGGCATTGTTCCAGCTTGTGTATCCTCAAAGCTGGGTTCTCTGGCTTCAATGTCCACCAGCAGTCTTAAGCTCTACTAAACATTTAGACTCATGGGACTACCATGGGACAACATCAGATGTCCCTTTTAGTGGAAGTCCTAATAGCAATGCACCCAGCCATTCCAGAGCTATCTTCTCTCCAGGTGACACTCAGGTGCAAGGAGAGGAGATCCACTCGGGGGGATGTGAAAACTTCCCTAGTTTATGAACCCCAATATCTCTTGTAACAACTCCATAAAAATAGCTGCCAAGGCTCCTGTGCAAACATTGCCAGTTATTAGAGTCAATGAATTCAAAGCAGCCTCAAGCTCTGGATGTTTATGAAATATTTATAAACTTGGGACTACCAAACCAGATCTAATGGATCAATCTAGGGTCAATCTGACCACAAGCAATGTTGCTTAATAACACGGTTAATACTGAAAATTTTAGCAGGTTTCCAGAGAAACAGAGTTAGCGAATTAACCCAGGTCAAACTCTCATGAGGAAGGAAAAAGGATTTGGTAACCTCTACCTATACTGGACCCCTCAGAAGTTTTATTTTCTGCTTTAAGCAGCCATAGTAGGTTCAACTTTTACAACTAAGCATTCCTAGAGTTTGTTTCCAGCCTTGCCAGTGTTGCTTGCATCAAGGATGCTTCCACTCACTTGGAGTAGGAGACATTCCTTAATGGGAAAGAATGGGGAAGAGTTATACCTAGAATGCTGGAAATTTCACATAACCCTGGATCTGTCCATTGGAGCGTGTGGAAATTTGAAAAATCACTGTGTCACAAAGGCCACAGATGAAAAAGCATTAAGAACAGATATATCTGAGGTGATCTTTCAATAGCGTGAATGTCTTGGAAGATGTATTTGGGTACCATTAACTTCTAGTGTCAGTTGTGTTTGCCTTATTAAACCGATTTCTTCAAGCGTCAGGGCTTCCATTGTTAAGACTATTTTGCTTCTCCCTCTAGTTTTCATCAAATAAGTGGTTGGTGATGGTATACTTGGGTTTGTGGTTGAGATTCCCCTAGTAGACAGTCCGCCACATCGTACAGCTCTTCTTGCAAAAGGACTGAGAACTGCCACTGCCGAGGTTCACATTCTGGTTTGTTTTTAGTGAGGCTGGGGGAGAGTAGAACTGCCTAACTGTCTAATGTTCTAGGTGAAGCTGATCAACGTCTCTCTGAGGCATTACCAGCTACCGCAGGCAACAGGATACGCCTATTTTCCTAATATTTATCATTTTGTGGCAACAAATTACTGAAATCATCCATAACCAAAATGCATCTAGGAATCACTGATACTTCCAGTAATGATGGAGGGAAAGAAAATCTTATCATGATTTACGATGGTTCCATTTTAAAACAGTAGCCTCACGTGGCCCCTACCCTCAAAATTAAGGAGAAGAAATATTGCCTAATCATAATCTCACAAGATTTATTTGGGTTTTCTTTTTAATAAAAATACCTGAGTTACCCGAAAGATTTCAGAAGTTCAAAAAACAGAAGCCAAAGTTCTGGAGAAATTTAAATGACAGAAATTTCAGACTGGCACTGAGTTTCTTCAAAATCCCACAGTGAAAAATGAAGCTATCCAAAACAAACGCAGCAACCCCAAATCTGTACCCGCATGAGAGAGTAAAATGGTGCACGTGGGCCTTGTTCCAAATGCTCCAGCCAAGAAAGGCTCTCCTGACAAGGAGAAATGGTTTCAGGCACAACACAATCCGTATTTCAGTCAACTGATATTTCTCAGCCTTTCTGCTGGGCATGAGCAAAAGCATACTATTCTTCAGACCCGTTCCCGGAACAACTTCTAGACTCGTGGAAAACCTTATGAGCACCGTGGCCCTTCCTGCCTTTGCCAGAATAGAAGTAAAGAGTCAAGGAAATCTTGTTTGATCTGGGGAGGAGTGGGGGGAAGGAGACAGAAAGAGAGAGAAGAAAGCAACTCCTGATTCAAGTCCTACCTCCCGCTGGAAATGCCTTGTTCATGGAGGATTTAGGATGCAATCGGTGTAAACACTTGACTGAAACAGTTAGAGGCTCTCTCTTGTCTGAAGGAAATGTATGTTTTCAGATGCTAAACACCAATGCCTGTCCCATCAGGGAAAGGAAGAAATAGCTTTTGTCTAGAAGGAATCACACACAGGCTTCTGTAGGGACATGATAACAGTATTTTAGAACAACAACAACAACAACAAAAGAGCATAACATCAGCTACTTTTTGGGAGACGCGGACAAAGGGAGGTCCCCTTGTACCAGGCATGGCACTGGATGTCTTAGCTAAAATCGAACTCCTTGTTGACGCCAGTCCCGCCAGGCTGGGCTTGTTCTCATTTAAAGCTGAGGAAATGATCTGTTCAAGGTCTCAGAGCTGGAAGAGGCAGAGCTGGGACCCAAACTCAGAGGCCCACCTGACTCCTAAAGCCATGCCCTTTCCAGAGGACCAAAGTGAACAGAACTCAAACATGACATGCTCCGCTTTGTATTTTGTGTTGTTGCCTGAAAATTCAACCAAAACGGAATGGAAAGACCGAGATACATGACTCCAACAGATCCTGGGCCGTGTTCTCTTTCCCGTCCTCCCCGGCGGCTCATCCTCATTAAAACTTGTCCCAGAAAGTGGAAACCTTAGGGGTCTTCCTACAATGGAGGTCAGAGAAAGTGATGTCTGGCTGGGAATGGTGGTGGTGGTGGTGGGGGTCATCTGCTTAGAGGTGGGAGCTGAAGACGTGAGGGGTTGAGTCAGAGAAAATGTGCTTTGCACAAGCAGTGGATGGGGCTGGGGGCTGCAGACACAGGCTCTCCACAGGCCAACGGTTTCCATTCTCTCCACTCTCAGGATTCACACTCACAGAAAGCGGCGTCTTGGTGTGTCTGACCGAGGTTATTTCTGCCTGGGGACCAGGAACATTTTGCCATCTCTCATTTGGGGCATGTTTGGCACATGAAGAGAGGTACCCACTGATTTGGCCTGGATAGTGGGAGCCGTGAGTAAGCCCCTGATTTAAGCTAACTCCAGACTGGATTGAAATCTTAAAGCTAACTTGGGATTTTTTTTTTTTTTAAAGGCAACTTCTGTCTAGCTCACGCTCCATCTTCGGCCCCAAACTGAAAGCCAAGAGACGCGGTTTTGTGGCGGAGCCCGCTTTTAAGCCTGAATGCATTCTGGCAGGCACAGAGCAGCCAACGAGAATTTTAAAACAACTTGGAAACATTTAACAGAGAAAGGAAAACTGCACTGAGGCCAAATGGGAATTGTTTAGCTACATGCAGATAATATCTACAACAATAAAAAGCGAACATTTACTGAGCACTTACTATGTGCTGGGCACTATTCCATTCATCTAATCTTCCAACAGCCCCGTGAAAGGGTTACTCTTAGCAGTCCTACAATGCAGATGAAGAAGCTGAGGCACAAAGAGGTGAAGGCCCTTTCCCAAGGCCCCCTGGATTAAAAAAATATTTTTATTGATTTTTAGAGAGAGAGAGAGAAAAGGAGAAGGAGAAGGAGAGAGAGAGAAACGTGGATCGGCTGCCTCCCGCACATCCCCTATTGGGGACCGAGAACTGCAACCCAGGCTTGTGCCCTGACTGGGAATCGAACTGGCAACCTTGTGGTACACAGATGATGCCCAACCAACTGAGCCACGCCGGCAAAGGCAGGCCGCCTGGCTTTCCATTGGAAGAGCCTGGATTTGAACTCAGTGTCTGGGTCACAGAGCCTGCTCTCTTAACCACTGTTCTGATGGACAGGGGTCACTACCACGGGAGCTGGAGAAAAGAGGCCTGCGTGGAGGGTGTGGGGGCTGATCCGTGAGACACTGGGAGGTGAGCTCTGTGGACATGTTCCCAGAGGAAGTGGGGATGCCTGCAGGGCAGTTTCTGAGGCCCTGCCTCTGACAGGGTGGAACATGGGAACCACTTAGCTCAGCCACTGGTTTACAGATGGGGAAACTGAGGCACGGGGAAGCAGAAGGATGGAGCCAAGGAGCAGCAGGACCCGGGTCAGAGGGGGCTTCGCCTCCCAGGAAGCTCTCCCTTCTTTCTCCCCTGTTTTTCTTTCCCGTGAGGATGCTGCTTCCCCCAGCAAACCAGTCTCCCACCCCCCTGCGTGGCCCATTCTGGATGAGCAGGTATTGACGGTCTAACCCCCTTCCCCTCGGAGGGTCTCGGGCAGCCAGAATGAAATGCAGGTAACACTCCAGGAGCTGGCATCCCCCAAAGGTGCCTTCACAAGGAGGCTACCCTGCACTACCCAGACCTTCACCTCCCCCAGAATTTGCAGACTTGCTCTTCTGACCTAGGTCATTTTTTTTTTTTTAAACCTGGAACTGGACCTGCTCTATGAAATCCCACTTCCAAGACTCCACCAGGGTCTCAGGTACCTCCTCAGGCCCATGGTTCCCATCTGGACCTCTCCAGTGAATCTCTGGGAGCTGGGCAATCCTGATCCCAGCATCCCTCCCCTCCCCCACCCCTGCGCCTCCGTGGAAGGAGGCAGTGCCCACCCTCCCACCACTAGGCGGTGATGACCAGAGGGGAGCTCCCCTCTTTGGCGAAGCGAAGGCCAGTCTTACCTTTCCACCTGGAGGTTGACTTTGGAAGGCTCCACGTTGGGATTTTCCCACTCCATTTGCGGGCAGTGCATGAAATAGCAAAGGGTGTACAGGGCCTCAGGCTCCCAGTAGAGCGCCCCCTGCTTGTGGTGCAGGGGGGTGCCGTTGCCGTGGTGCTTGGCATTGAGGGGCTGCAGGTGGTGCATTGCTCGGGACACCAGGTCGCCTGTAGACAGAAGTAAGAGTTCAGATCCCTCAGGCAGCAAAGACTTGCAGAAAAGATGTGCCTGAAGATCCCTGAGAAATCCTGTTTCATCGACAAAGCAAACTGAGACTCAAGGTGTCAAGAGTAGTCAGAAGCAGAGACAGATTTCAACCTGGACATGTGTGACTCTCATGCCTGCTGTCTTCAACCTCTTTTTCTGAGTGAAGCCCAGTGCCGCCTGGTCCAGCTCCAAGTCCGTCTACAGATAGCTGGCATTTTGCAGCCAAGGTGTTAACAGATGCCATTTACCCTTGATTCAGTAATTACATTTCTGGGACTCTGTCCCAATGTTGGAATCCAAAATGCAGCAAAATCTTCATGCACAAGGATTTTCACCCAAACCTGATTTACAGGGTCCACAAGTTGACAAAGAAACAAATGTTTAAGAATAAGAGCGTGGTTAAATAAACTCTGGTATATCCACATGATACCATCATCAACTTATGCAAGTCATTAAAAATGTTTACATAGAGGTGCAAAGTCACAAAAAATCCTGATGTTAAAATGGTGAGTGCGAAAAGAGTGAAATTCAAAACTGCATACAGTGTGATTAGGATTATGTTATTAAAAAGTATGTACTGAGTAAATATTAAAAAAAAAATCAAACCGTTGACCATGGATTTGTCTGCCTAGTGGGATTGTGGGTAATATTCCTTTATAGCCAACATTTCTGTAGTTTCTGAGTTTTGAGTTATGGAGTGTGCTACTTGGTAGGTATTATCGGAATAATAAGCTTCCTGAAGTAGTATTTTTTATTTTCTTGTAACTTCCATCTCAGGTCAACTTGGAGTACACTCACCTTTCCATCTGTTTTTCTTGAGAGCTCCCATAAAAAAAGCTCAAAACAAACAAACAAACAAACAAAATCAAAAGGGAGTGGAGAAAAGAAAAGGGTCCGTGTTTAGGGCCCCGGCACTGCTCCCCTATCCTCCAAGACACTGGGGAGCCTTTTGCCTCGGGCGGGCTAACCATCTCCTCTGAGCATCATTCAGCTCGCCCTGCACTTCCAGGTTCCCTGCTTTTGTTCTTATTGTTTCACACCTTAGAGTGCCCATCCTCCCAACTACTGAAGACCTTCAAGGCTGTGATCAAATGCCTCTTCTTACATGGAGCCCTCCAGAATGCCCCCAGTCAGAATCAATCTCCCCTTCCCCTGTGTACCCGCCACATTTGCTAATACAGCTAAAACATTACTTGTTTAATTCTGTCATGTTTCCCACTTAACTGTCCACACATCTGAGCCTCCAGGGCAGAGATCATGACTTATTCCTTGTTCTGTTCCTGAAGTAGCAGTGTAGTACAGTGGCTAGGAAGGTGCTCTCTGGACTCAGACTGCCATCATCACCACCATCATCATTTCCATCAACATCATCACCACCACCATCATCATTTCATCATTTCCATCAAAATCATCATCATTTCATCATTATTTCCATCACCATCACCATCACCATCATCATCATTTCATATCATTTCCATCAACATCATAATCATCATCACCACTATCATCATCATTTCATCATCATTTCCATCAACATTATCATCGTCACCACCACCATCATTTCATCGTCCTTTCTGTCAACATCATCATCATCACCATCACCATCATTATCAGCCTAGTCCTTGGATCAGAGGCCCCAAGGATGTCTGAGCAGGGCTGGCCGTTGGAGATGAAATTGACACAGGGATTCTACAACCACTAGGTCCACTTTAAACCCTGCTTTGTGTATGTGCTCTTTGCTGCCTCACCTGCCAGCTTCATGACTCCCAAACCATAAGTCACTTGTAACGAGCAGCCCTGAGTCTGGGCAGCGGGAGCCTGGCTCTAGGAACCGACTTGAACATCCATGTGTAACCATGTGGGAATCACCATCATGACTTCTCTCGTAATCTGTGTGCTGCAGGTACAATTTATTTACTTAATATTTTCTTTAAATTGGCTCATTCTTTCCCCACAAATAAATTCATTGGAAAAGGAAACCTCCTATCAGTGCCATAAATGGAAAACCAATATTTTTCTGGTACTCATAAAAAATTCATGGAAATTAAAAATTTAAAGTGTTTTCTGTATCACCTACAACCGTCTCCCGTGCTGCCGTTTGGGAAACGCTACTCTAACCCGCCAGACTCAGGTTATCAGCGCATCTCCGACTAAGCCATCCTCCTGCACGCCCGCCTGACGTGAGTGCTCTGGGACAAAGGGCCTCGCGTGCCGGCAGTCGGCGCCTCTGTTAGCCTGAGCTTAGGCAGCACCTTCAACATCCTCCCCTGCTCTTCATTTCATCCTCAGTCAGCTACCACTCACTACAGCACGTTTTCTCACCTCCCACAACCGTGGGACTGGAGGCAGCTAGACTCTAGGAAGAGCCATCTGCATTTCAAACAAGGAGAGAGACCCCCTTGTCCAAGCAATTAGGGCTGTTTTGTTCCCCCCCACCACCCCTGCTTTTTTTCCTGGTGACACATTGGATAGACAACCCAGAAACCCTTTTTACACACAGCTTTAAATTAATGGCCCTGTTGTGATTGCCTCATTGAATGGGAGCAACAAGTTCATGGTTAAGTGTGAAAAGATTACAGGAGGAGGCATTTTTTAATGAAGTTCTCAGTTTTTCCCTTTAAACAACAGGAAGCAATTACTATAATTGACGACTGTCCAATGGGCGGTTAATTGGGAGCTTGGGGGCAAAACTGGGATGTCCCCAGGAGAGTTGAGGCAAGATCTCAGAGGACACGGATACAGGATGGGACAGGACCAAATGCAGAGTTGAGTTGGTTCAAGAGTGAGAAAACCCAGGGCCTCTGCTTTCCCCCCTGGCCTCAGTGTGGAGACTGGGTGGACCCAATACCCCCAGACGTCCTCACTGGTTCAGGGAAAGAGACCTGGACTGCCCGCCAGACTCCACGTCACCTGTGATGTTCAGTACATCACCTAGCAAATTTCCTAGGGCTTCTGGTTAAAGAATCACCAGCCTGTGAATGTTTGGGAACCTTTGTGGGATCTTGATTTAGCTTCTCATTCAAATATTTTAGACATGCAGAGGTTCAGTTCTAGCCCTCTGAATTCAAAATTCAGTTCAATCGAGTATTTGCCATTTTACTGGCGTTTCATGAAGAGTTCCCCTCACCTGTAACATTTTCTTCAGCTTCATTTATTTATTTTCTTACAGACTAGTTCACTGTGGGTCATTCATTTACTTGTTTGACATGCAGCGGGTATTCCCCAAGCTATGGGCAATGTGTTAGATGCTCAGAAGGTAAAACTGAATTGGACACAGCACAGCAAAGTAGAAAAAGAAAAACTACAACTGGGTTTGAATTATGACTCTGCCTTGGGGCAGGCATTTATCCCTCCAAGTCTCAGTTTTCTTATCTGTGAAATGGGAACATTAATACCTTTAATGTATTTAAAGCACTTGGCACACAGTAGGGGCTCCAGAAATAGTGGGTGTGTTTTCACCCCAAGCCATAAGAGGGTCCAAGCTCCAGCCCTTCAGCTCACAGGTGAGGTTGATCTAAGACAAGTTGTTTATCCTCTTCTCACCTCCACTGCCATGTCAATGTGGACAGTAATGGCCATAGTGGAGATAATTCATACAGATTTTTCATAGTTTCCTAGTTCAACAACATCAGCTGCTGCTGATACGATTACTGGCTATTAAGAAGGTCACGGTCAGGGGTTCTGCCCTCCAGCCTGGACGACAGCTGGATTCAAGAAGAGCCGTGATGGCTGGGAAGAAATTCTTTCCACCTCGTCTTTGCTGGAAAAACAGTGGTTTCTAGAATCCACTCCGGCAGAGTAACCTCTGAATATGAAGAACAGCTCTTTGTGCACAGAGAGAGCAAGGCTGTATTGATTCAGACCACAGTGCAAGCTGGTCTAAATTACAGGCAGGCCAGCAAAGAAGGCAATTTCATTATCTGCAGTCGCCCACGTGGCTTACCAATGCGCCTCCTCGCATATGTTCTATGAGGCCCCGCTTAATGAATGTACAAAACCCACTGACAATTAGCAGCACCCATTTGTGTGCCAACAATTCATATGCGAAAGTCAACATTCAACCGCAATGACAGCATTTAATTTGCAGAGCAAATTGTCCTTAAAAACAATTTAGGCCACAAGCTGCTCCCGCAGACTGCCTGCTTAGGTGAAGTGGAGATATTTTAGCAAATCCTTTCTTCTTCTTTTTAAAACAATATTTTTAAAAAATTAATTTCAGAGAAGAAGGGAGAGGGAGAGAGAGATAGAAACATCAATGATGACAGAGAATCATTGATTGGCTGCCTCCTGAGGGGTCCTAGCTATACCCCAGGACAAACCTTTGAGACCACAAGAGATCAAAGTGTGTGGGCCAGAGGAGTGGTGCCCATGCTACGCCCATGCAGACATGACCACACTGTGGCCAGGTTCTGCGTTTCCAGGGTCCTGTCCTGGGTGCATCTTAGCATTTCTTCTGAGAGTGATGTTTCCCCAGGGAGCTGCTCGGACCCTCTATATCTCAATCCCCGGGGAGCTGTTAAAAGGCAGACGTTCCCTCATCCCGTCGCAATGGTTGCAGATGTCTCAAAATATCTTCGCACACATCACCACCTCCAACTAATGGGGTCATCAGAGCTGCTGCTAGAACTTTCTAATGTGCTACTGAAAAAGCACATAATTACTACACCACAATTTAGATGAAAATCTTAGTGTAATTGGTTTCTTTTGTAAACACAGGCACTTCATTTTATGCATTTAAAAATATTCTGTGGCAGGGTCCATGGGCTCCACCAGATTGCCAAAGGGGTCCATGGTACCCAAACGTTTAAGAAAAGTCAAGTGAATGACAGGTAACGGGGAGCCCCTGTGACTTTGGGGGTTTGAGGAAAATGGAAATGCAGTTTCCAAGTTCAGGTGCCAGGAAAGTAGATTTAGTGACCGCAAGGACCCCCTACGGCTTGAATCAGCGACTACCTCGCTTCCCAGAGGTTCCACATGCCTGTCCTGGTGTAGGGAATTCCCACGGGAGAAGGCGCATGTTGCTTTCTGGATCCCGAAGCTTTTAACAGTTCAGGATTGTCCAGACTCTCACCTAATTCATAATTTAGCATAAGCCACGAGTTTCTGAGCTCAAAGTTCTAGTCCCACCAGGAACTAACACACAGCTAAGTCATTGATAATCAACAGGATCCCAAGTGAGTACGATTTTACTTCCCTTTGGTTGGCGGGGTTCAGAGAGCACAGCCCTAAATTAGGGGGGTGCAAGCATGACACGTCATTGCTCAAACTGTGGCATCCCTACTTTCTTGACAATCCTCCCTTCTTGCCACCTGTCTCTCTCTTTCTCCCTCTTCCCTGCTCTTAGTATTTCTCGAGGACCTACTGTGTGCCAGGCAGTGTTCTTGGGGCTGGGGTAACATCAACGAACAAAACAAAATCTTTACTCTCCATGAGACTATATAGTAGTAGGGAGAGATAGAGAATTAAAAAAAAATAGAAGAGTAATATAGGGCGTGACTAAGGGAAGGGCAGTGACTGCTAATGGTTTCAGGGGGTAATAAAAATGTCCTAAAACGGAGTGTGGTTATGGCTGCACAGCTCAGGAAACAGACTAGACATCATTGAATTGTGTACTCTAAATAGGTGATTTGTATTTCAATGATATCTCAGTGAAGCTGTTATTAAAATAAACAACAACACAACAGCAAAAACGAGAGAATGCGATAGGGTAACTGCTGGAGAGAAGGGTAGGCAGAGGAGGGGGATAAAGGTCCTCAAAGGGTCATAATTTTATCCTTATCCCTGGACATGTCCATTGACTTGAGAGAGAGAGTGGGGGGGGGGGGGGGGGGAGGGAGAGGGAAGAGAGAGAAACATCGATCAGCTGCTTCCCGTACTTGCCTTGACTGGGGACTGAACTCGCAACCCAGGTATGTGCTCTGACTGGGGAATTGGACACACTGACCCATGGTGTATGAGATGATGCTCCAACAAATGAGCCAGCAGGCCAGGTGTGTGTGTGTGTGTGTGTGTGTGTGTGTGTGTGTGTGTGTATCCTCATTTCAAATAGGATGGTCAGGGAAAGCCTCATTGAGAAGGTCACATTGGGTGAGACTTGAAGGTCATGAGGGAATAAGCAAGTGGGTATCTGGAGGAAGAGTGGTCCAGGAAGAGGGATCAGGAAGTGCAAAGGTCCTGAGGTATGCCTGCTATGTTCAAGGAACAACGTGGGGCCCGGGTGGCTGCAGTTCAGTGGGTCAGAGGGGAGAGTGGAAGATGTCTGAGTGATATGGGTGGGGGGCCTGGAAGCAATTCTGAGAACTTTGGGTTTTCCTCTGGATCAGATGGGAACCAGTGGAGGATTCTGACTAGAAGAGAGATGAGATCTGATATATGCTTTAAAGGAATCCTGCCGTGACAAGCAAGTGAACAGACACTGTTCGTAGAGCCTCGCTTGTGTCAGGCACATGGCAAACTCCTTCATGGGCATTAGCTCATCAAATCACCACAGCTACACCCTAAGTGAAGGACTATTGTTCTCTCTGTTGTGGGAAACTGAGGCTCGGAACAGGTTAGGAACTTGACTCACATCAGCAGCAGGGCCAGGGCACAGACCAGGTCTGCCTGACGGTACAGTCCTCACCTTCCCCGCGGCCATCGCGGCACTGTTTTGTGCCCACGGCAGGTGTTCAACGAAAGGCGCCACCTGACTGGCCACCAAGCCCTGCCCTGCGGCGGGGGCACCTTAGGGACAGAGAGGGCGAGAGAACGTGCATCCACTTACTCAGTTCTGCGATGCTGCCCACGCGGGTGGCCAGCAAGGACTGCTCGATGGTCCTCAGCTCCGACTGGCTGAACATGGGCATTTCTCCCGGCTTGTTTGACCGCTGCGGGTCCCTGTGCAGATTCAGGCTGTCTGGCAGGCACAGCACTCCTGCAGGCCGGGGAGGAGGAAATGAAGAGAGAACAGATCGTTACTTTTTGGCTAACAAAAGGAGGGGCATCAAACTGGGCACAGCCCTGAACCACACCAGAGCTGGGACCACAAACCCAACGTGACAACCAAGACTCCCTTCAGAAATGATATCTAGCTATTTTAAAAGGTTTCCTCAAGGCTCTGACCTGCTAATTTTAACAAATATGTGGGCATTGGTCTGTATGCACATTTCCACAGGACACAAAACAGAGCAGGATTCTATCTGCTCAGCGATGCCTCATTCTCCACCCCAGAGGCAGCTATATCAACTGGGTGTCCTGGGGGGCCGGCCTCTGCTGCAGTCACTTCTGAGGACTTGTTTTATTTGCCCAACAAATTGAACCCCCTTGGCTGGGTTGTTATCTGTTAGATAAGGCTCTCGCTTTCTCTGGAGAGTTCAATGCCAGGAGGTAAAGAGTCCCATGGAAATCCCTTCCCTTCCTTTCCATTCCATAGACACGTAGCGAGAATCTCAGCACTTACTCTGGTACTTTAGGCAGAAGTATTACCCGGTCCCAACCTCCAAAGGCAGAGTGTGCTTCCTTGCTCCTTGCCTTTGGGCTTCATGACTCACTCTGGCCAAAGGTATGTACATGAACACGATGGAACTCAAGGCCTGCAGAGCACCTGTGCAGTTGAACTTGCTCTCTTGCACCTCTGCCATCATTATGAGAGAAACATGCCCTGCCTAGCCTGCTGGTCTAAGGAGGGTGAGAGAGACACAGAGCAAACCCAGTGCCAACCTGAAGCTTAGAGCTGCCCAACAAACACACATGTTCACTGGGTATGTCTTTGAGATAGTGGGGGGTTGTTTGTTACTCAGCATTATGATGATGATAACTAACAGATACACCTATGAAGTGCCAATCCCTGAGTATATGAAGATACAATGAACAAGGCAGGCACTAAGCTGTGTTAGGGGCTGAGGACACAGTGATGGACAGAACACATACACTCCTGTTCTCAGTGGGCTCACAGTTTCAGCAAAGGAGGCAGCTGATACACACAAAGCACAAGGTCATGTGATAAATTCTCTATGGTAGGAGGAAATGAGGAATGAAGGCATGGGACCTGAATAATGAATAGTTGTCAATAAGTAGAAAGCACTTATTGAATACCTGCTATATTCCCAACCATGTTAGGCATTTTGAAGATGCAAAAGAAGCAGAAGATGCATTAAGTAGTTTATGAACCAACTAAAGCGACAAGACTGGCAACAGCATAATTTAGGAACAATAGGATAGTATTGATATATAGGTGCTGAATTATTTAAGACAACTGGCAGGGTGAGGGGGGAAACAGACAGAATGTCTGTAGTTCAAAGGTCAGTAGTTCAAGTCCACTCCTCATTCTGCTTGAACCACAAAAGCTCAGCAAACAAAGGTTCCTCCTCTGAAGATGGGCGGACGTGCGGTGGCACCTGTCACACGCCTCTTCTGGCCCCTGTTGCCCCAGCCATACCGAGCCAGTCGCTTGTTCCTGAAGGTTTCACCTTCACACCTAAAGCCTGATACAATGGAGAAGGTAGCTACAGAAGACCTTTTCTGGATGAATAATGAATGAACAGACGAATGATGCAAATGCAAATGATGATTCAGTTTCAATGTTCCTATAATCAGGAAACTGGTCAAGTAAGTTTCTTCCTAAGATTATTCTTTAAACCATTGTTTTTCAAACCTTTTTGACTGTGACCCGGAATAAGAATGTATTTTATATGAGGACCCAGTACACACACCACCACCACCACCACACACATACACTCTTCATGTTCTCCATGAAAAAAACGAAAAAACAAAGAAACAAAACAGAAAAACAACTTCATGGAGAATAATACTGACTCTTACTATTATTACATAAAGCACTCTCAATTTTTTTTCTTTTTACTTCTCTTCTATTTTATTAACTTAAAAATGCTATCTGCAGTATCAGAAGGGATTTCACTTTGAAAAACACTATGGACTGTGCTGGTACACAAATTGGCATCAGCTGGACAACACGGAACCACCACTTACTGGACACTGCCTACAGCCGGGCAGGCTCTGCAGGGGATGTGGAGGTGACCGAGAGGGGATCCCTGCACTTCAGCAAACCTCCGCTTTTCAGGGAACACAAGGCCTTTGCAGAAATTCCCATCACCCAAGACTGGCCTCCTGCCTGTCCCCTTTTGCTGAACAGCTGAGTCATCCTCCTGATGACTGGGGATGCCCTGAGTCATCTTTACTTCCTCCTGTTTGTTCACCGGCCTAGACATTTGGTCAGAGGCCAAGTCAAGTAGATGTTGCCATGGCAACGGTGTCAGGCCAATTCCTCAATCTGGTGCCCCTGATGTGCTGACTCTTAGTCAGAGATTTCCTACCCTTGGAGAGCTCCCCGCAGAGGGCACCAGGTGATCAGGACCCAGTGTGACAAGGGACCGCAGTTCCTAGGTGGTCGTCATGGGGCTTCACAGCAAAGGAGACCCGAGAGTGAGCCCCTGGTGTTGGGAGGATGAAGTTGCCCAATCAACATGAGAACTAAGCCTCGTGTGCTCGCGGGATTGCTTTCTTGGTATTTGCATGCTGTTCAGCAAGTCCCCATCCCTGACCTGCATCTGAAATGTTGTTTCACACGGTTGAGGCATAAGCAAACAGGATGTGGAGTCTGGAACCTGAGTTTCAGACGTGGCTGTCAGTTCACACCTATGCTTAACCTCAGGTAGGTCACAGGGCCACTCTGGACCTAATTTCCTCTTCTGTGAAAGGTGACAGTTCTGTTCTTATCTCTCTCACGGGGTTGCTGGGGGTGAAGGGATAAAATGAGATAATGTATACCGAAGTATTTTGCATGTGCTGAGCAAACTGTAGGCGCTCAGCATATGTTAACTGAGATTAAATCAGTTAATGTGTACAAACCCAGCGTTAGACTGCTTCATGCTTTGTCATAAGAATAAACAATTTCCCTTGGGATTCTTCCTCCTTCTTTTAGAGGGTTATGACATTTAAATGTGAAAACATAATTACTCAAAGAAGCTGTGAAAGCTAGATCACTGAGATTTGAAAAATCTAAATTGAACGATTATGCGAAGATTATATACTAGGGCCCTGCCCGGGTAGCTCAGTTGGTTAGAGTGTCATCCCCATACGCCAAGGTTGCAGGTTCGATTCCGGTCAGGGCACATACAAGAAGCAACCAATGAATGCATAAATAAGTGGAACAAACAAATCTATCTTCTCTCTCTCTCTCTCTCTCAAATTAAAAAATAGATATATGGAATTTATTTTCTTCCTTCCTTTTCTTCTCGAGGACTCTAGATGGGGTAGCACATAAACTAGAGTTGTTTGTTGTTGTTGTTGTTTTATTTTATTTTATTTTTTTGGTCTAAAAATCAACCAGGTCAATAAAAAGGTCCCAGCATCATATTTCAGTGTCAGACGCAGGCCTCAGTTGTGGACTACTCATCAATTTCCATTATCGGAGCCAAGGACAGCTGCAGCCTGGGGATTATAACTTCAAGTTCAAAGACACGGAGAATGAAGGTTCAAATATGACTTTGATTGGCCCTGAAGAGAGTAATTTCTCTAGAGAGAAGGTGATCACCAGCTATGGTCCGGATGAGACTGAAGAGGTCATGGCCTCCCTGAAATTCTATTACTCTGGAGTGGGTTGTGCACTTCTAAGGGAGAAGTTCATTCACATCCTAAGGGGGTCTGGGGGTCCTAACAGATGATGAACTGATGCCTCTGAGGTCCACATTCCCAGCCCCAACCAGGACCTCTGCTCTGGGACTGACCGGCCGTACATGGGACAGAGTGGGCTGGGCATGACCATGGCCCTGACGGAGCTGAGCTCCAATCCTGCCACAGCCCCTTGTGCAGCCTGAACAAGGACCTTCCCAGATCCCCAGTCAGCGCTTGTGTCTGCAAAGAGAGGTTAAAATATCTCCTTCACTGGCTTCTTGTGGTGATTAAACAAGATAATATATCAAAGGCTCTTCTCTATAGTAAGTACCTGCTACACACCCTGTGCTCACAGATGAGCAGTTTCTTTTTATTTAATGTCTGGATTCAAACAGTCTTGAGGGCCATCTTTCCAAAATCTTGTGCAAACAGAGACCGACAGCACTTTGGTTAGGTGGCTCGGAACATAACACAAGAGAGCTACTCCCCTGGGGGTTGGGGGGGTCCCTGGGCCAACCACATCGGGCATCTGATGGGTGATCAGGGGGCACTGCTGCCTTGCTGGATGCCTACCTTCCCATCTGCATAGGGCGGCCCCTTGGCAAATATACTGCCCTGTCATCCTTTCTCTCCTTTCAGCTTTTCTCTGCATCTCCATCTATGACTAGACCTGGATGCTACTTACCCACTAAGAGAAAACCAAACAAGACAGCCATCAGCACTCACCCATTCTCCTCTCATCGATGATGGTGATGGAGGAGGAGGAGACGGCATATGTCTTGGCGCCCTGGACACAGGCTTGGGCTGTGCCTTGTCTGTGTTTGGCTGCAAGAGCAGTCTGCCTACTTCCTGCCTGCCAAGCTACCCCTTGGTTTCTGCTCAGTTAGCCCCAGAATTCAAGTGGGGGTTCCTGGCAGCTGTCCCAGCTTTACGCAACGGGAGGGCAGCAGCTGGGGTGCAGCAGGCCAGCCCTGGACAGGCACCAGGCAGACCTGGCAGGTTCCGATTCCCGCCCTGCCGTCTCCCAGCTGTGGGCAGGGTCTTGTGCCTGGGGTCCTCTGAGCCTCCCTTTCTCCTTCTGTGAAATGCTTGATGCTATCTACCTCCTAGTGTGACGGGGAGGCCCTAATGGGATAATATATATGGACAACCTGGCACAGAAAAGGGGGTCGATAGATGTTTGCTAATAGTCCAAGTGAAGTTCTTCGAAGCTGAAGATTTAGGAATTCAATAATACCACGATGCGAGAAGGCTCTGTGTTACCGTTAAATTTATTAAGAAACAAGCTAGGAAGTTATCAGA